TTCTCGAGCAGGCTGCACACCTCCTGCCTCAGGACATGAGCGTTTTGGGGCAAGGTTAACGACTGAATTACGCCGCGGAAGCGGGGTGGTCTGCGTTTGAACTGAAGTGTGTACCCGTGCCGAATTATATTTAGGACCCACGGAGAAATGCCCGGAATAGCCTCCCACGCTGCCTGAAAGTGACTCAGTGTGGGCTGATCTAAACCTGCGGTCATCGCCGCTGTGTGTGGGCTGTGAATGAACACCTCGCGGCCGCGAGGTGCCCTTATAGTTAACAACCGTGACTCTGCACTGCTCGTAGGCAGGGCGGGTAACACGGTGTGTGGTGCAGGAGGGGAAAAAAACTCTGTTTGTGAACAAGTATTTTGCTTTATTGAACACACACATGCAACAGCATTTACAAAACAATCGCACACGTCGCTCGTGAAACGCCGAGGGACTATGTGCTGAAGAGCGCGGCGCTTTGGAGCAGGGCCGGCCTGGCGCTCTCTTCCCCTCTTGCCCGGGCGGTCAGGACGATTTCTTGGGTCTCGCTGGAGACGCAACGACCTTCCTGCGCGGACTTCTCTGGGCCGCCCGCTTCTTCCCCGCACCCTGCCACTGGTTGCTCCGCCCTCTGTGAGCATCCGGCTCCTGGCGAGGTGCTGACTGCCGTCTCGCCGCCGCTTGAGGTTGGCGGCCCGAGGCAGATGACGAGCGAGAGCGAGGATGCAGCGGAGGCGGCGGCGCCCTCCGAGGGATGACGTGACTCATCGCCTTTGCCTTCTTCTGGGTCTCGGAGTATCTCTCGGTGACCTTTTCGACGGCATCCCCGAACAGGCCTGCTGGGGAGATCGGTGCGTTCAGCAGCGTCTTTCTGTCAGCCTCTTGAACGTCGGAAAGGGTGAGCCACAGGTGCCTGTGGAGGACCACCATGAACCCCATCGAACGGCCTACCGCCTGAGCTGAGCGCTTCGTGGCCAAGAGCGCGAGATCCGTGGCTGAACGAAGGTCCCGGATGGCGTCAGCGTCGACAGAGGCGGCGCCATCCAGCGACTTCAACAGCTTCGCCTGCATCACCTGGAGCACGGCCATGGCGTGCAGTGCAGACACCGCCTCCCCCGCCGCTCCATAAGCCTTGTTAACCTGGTGGGCCGTGAATCTGCAGGCTTTGGACGGCAGGCTGCGGTCCGAGCCTAGGGCGGGAGCCGATGGGCAGAGATGCGCGGCTACGGTCTCCTCGACGGGGGGGATTCGGAGGTAGCCGCGGTCCCCCGCCTCGTCCACGGGGGCAAACATGGCCTGGGTGGAAGTGAGGGTGCGCGCCGATTGCGGGGCCGCCCACGACTTCACCACGTGCTCATGAACGTCAGGAAAGAACGGGGTTCCTCTCCTCGAAGCGGCCTGGCGGCGGCTCGATTGAAGGAACCACGTGTCTAGCTTGCTCTTGGAGGGTTCATCCGGGGCCTTCCAAGAGAGGTCCAGCTCCTCGACGGCCTTGGAGAGGATGCGAAAAAGCTCATCCTGTAGGTCCGCCGGGGTGTCCTGTTCCGAAGCCGCTAAGTCCGGGGCGGCCTGTTCCGCGCCCCAGTCGGTCTCGGAGGCAGACAGAGACATGGAGTCTTCCTCCTCGCTCACCCCGAAAGACACGAAGTCCGCGACCTCACGAGGGGGGCGAAAGGTGGCATCGGGGAAACTCACCGGAGGCCGTATCTCGACTCCGCGGTTGGGGGGGCCCACCAGCGGCTCGGTGGCGGCAGTGGGCCCAATCCCCGCAGCTGCACGAGCCTCATCCCGCCTGGCCTTGAGAGCTCGAAGGGACATGTCCGCGCAGTGCTCGCACGACCCGCCATCCCCGAGGGCCGACTCAGCATGGGCCAGCCCCATGCATGCGATACAGAACAGGTGCGTGTCCGGGGGCACGATGGGGCCCGAGCACAAGTTGCAGATAGTCGCCATCGGATGCAGAAGACAGTAAGCGTATCTTCGGCGCACCTTCGACGACGGCGTGAAATAATCCTTAGGTTTGTTGTAGTATCAGCTATCTAGCACACGATTTGAGCGTGAAGAGAGAGATTCTAAAGAAGGATTGACGCTGCATTGTACTTATACTGCATGTTCAGTATTTGCATATTTGCGTCAATTGGCCAGCTTTGCTGGCGTTAGCCTATAAGATTTCAGCGGAAGTGAAGGAGGAGAGGAGTTCCCATATACGACATCCGTAATGTCGAAGTTCCGTAGCCTTGATAGGGAACATTAAAAATGAACATCTTCGCGCACACACACACACACACACACACACACACACACACACACACACACACCACACACACACACACACACACACACACACACACACACACACACAGACACAGACACAGACACAGACACAGACACAGACACACACACACACACACAAACATCGGAAATATTCTGTGAGACATCCCTCAGGGGCCAGGGCATATTATGTCTCTTTAGAGATGGAGTAGATCTATGGCTGTCAGCCTTCCTTTGTGCTGCTCACTGTTGCCCTGCTCCACAACAGGTCGCCTCACACAACTGCTTCCTGTCTCAGGCTCTCCTAAAATAACCATGTTCAAATATACAGACTATCAGAGCACAAATACTACTGCTGCTAAAATAATCAATAAACATGTCCTTCATCCATTCTTTTTCGCTCTCTATCTATAGAACAGCATATGCAAAGAGAGCACATGCAATTTTAGACTTTCCTTCTATGCATCATAACCTGTTTTTTCACCACAGAACCATTACTTCAACAATTGCTGTTATTTTCATCTTTACTGCACAAAATCCATCAGGTCAAATTCTTTTTGTGTCACTTCTTTTGTAAGGTTTACAGTTACAGATGTGCTTGCTGACGTCATCAGACTGGGGTCACTGATGTCACATGTCCCCTGATATAGTTTTTTACAGGAATGATAGTTCTGCTTTAGCTGTTTCAGACATACAGTTAAATGGACCAAATAACATACTTATCGTAACATTCTTAAATGTTGACATCAACCAAAAATAATTAAACTCTTTACAAATGTGGTTAATTGTACAAATGGTCCAGAAACAGATTGTTAACATTTTTTTTGGTATAATTAAAATTGTTTTCTTTCCAAGGGAATGCAAGGCATGACCTCACACAATTACATGATTATGAATAAATGTGCATGCAAAATTCAATAGAAAGAGAAAGAGAGAGAGAGAGAGAGAGAGAGAGAGAGAGAGAGAGAGAGAGAGAGAGAGAGAGAGAGAGAGAGAGAGAGAGAGAGAGAGAGAGAGAGAGAGAGAGAGAGAGAGAGAGAGAGAGAGAGAGAGAGAGAGAGAAATGTATGAGGCAGGGGGATCGTGAATTTGCCGAAGCTGTTTCTCATGCTGGCATCACCATTCAGCAGTGGTCCAAATGACTGTTGCCTTCTGAATGCACATGAAAATGTATTTTAGTGGTCTGATATTTTAGAAAAGTCAATGTACTAGTCTGAAAATGTTTTTTTTTTTTTATACAAAGCAGACTGCATAAGTGTATGTACATGCGCTGTCAGTCGGTCATAAGGACATGAGCAGGGCAATGGAGGTGAACTGGAGTGGAGTGGAAGGGGAAAGGAGAAGAAGATGCACTCGGCTCTGCTTCTATACAAAAGCACCTTTACTTCTGAGGTTTGAATTTGACGCAATTACATCATACTTTGGTGTGTGACATACAGTAAACTGGTAAGACATACCATGAGATTTACTGTGGAATGCAATGAGGTGTTTCATCAACTATGGGCACTTTAATTGATTAATTTACATATTTTAAGATTGAATTTGGATTGCACACTTTTTTGTATATATTTCTTTCAAAGTAAAAAATAAATAAATGACACAAAATAAAAGATGAAGGCATGAATAAAATAAACAAATAATTGAATTATAAAATGTAAACATTAACCCTTGGGAAAGTAAAAGTGTCCATAGTTGAATAACCATCTGTTCATGTATGGTTGTAAATACACTACTGTTTTGGGGTCTGTTTCTCATGCTCACCAAGGCTGCATTTTTTTAATCAATAATACAGTAAAACATTTTATATTTTATCCTATTTTAAAATGTAATTTATTCCTGTGATGGCAAAGCTGATCTTCTTTTTTTTGTGCTTAAGAAACATTTCTTATTATTATCAATGTTGAAAACAGGTTTTTGTGGAAACCATGATACATTTTTTCAGGATTATTTGAGTAGAAAGTTCAAAAGAACATTAAAAATAATATTTATAAATTGTAACAAATGTCTTTATTGTCACTTTTGATTAATTTAATGTGTTTGCATATGTGTTTGCATTCTCTCAATGCTGAATAATTTCTTTAAAGACCCCAAACTTTTGAACTGTAGGGTATATGTGATATATCTATTTACATATGCAAACAAACACATGCATGAGGAAAGGTCGAACAAAGATATATTAGTCATCTAAAATGAGCTTAAATTAAAAGCTATTCATCTCTCCCTTCCTCACTCCCACTGTTTTCTGAATGTTGGATGTTGTAAAAATTGGGTCTTTTCATATTGAAGAACAGAACATCTTTACAGTTCACTACTTTACTATACATAGTAAAATATTTTTTTGTATCTTTCTGGTCTTTCTCACTCTCAAAAAGACACACCATGACTAGCCGAACAACTACAGCCCCCTATAAACTGAATTTTCAACCATACCTAATAACTAGCCTCCCTCAACAGCAGCATCCCCAGTTTCTTTACTCACTATCTTAACTTTATCTGCCAAGCTATAATTTGACTGGCTTTTCTATACACAGTAACTTACCGGTATGCCTTTTGAAGAAGAACTAATCACTGGCCAGGTTAGTGGCATCAAAACACATGGACAACATTATCCACAACAAGCATTTAAGTGCTGTAGCATAAACCTGAGCATAACTAGAACAGTATGAGTGTGATCTGGTTTATCCTCATAGCAGAAAACTTGTGTTGTACCTGTAATATGGTAAAAGACTGAATGAGTAGCTTACCCTGGGTCATCCCCCCCCCAACATTCTCTGTTGGGCTGTAACCGTTCAGGGATGTTTTGGTGCCCAAATCAACCATTTGGTGGAGGCGGAGCTTCCTGCAGTAAATGGACGCAGCCTCTGGTTCCAGAGCAATGATCAGCTGATCAGGGTTTTCGCGAGAAACCAGACCAGCCTAGGTGAGTACAAAACACCAAATGACAAGACATTAAACCAGGAATATGAAACCCAGGCTCATATTTACTAAAAACATGTGAATTTTTACTCATTAACTTAAGAGTATTTAAAGGGATACTCCACTTTTTTGGGAAATAGGCTCATTTTACAACTCCCCCAGAGTTAAACTGTTGAGTTTTACCGTTTTTGAATCCATTCAGCCGATCTCCGGTTCTGGCGGTACCACTTTTAGCATAGCTTAGCATACATCATTAAAGTGGACAAGACCATTAGCAGTTCTCAAACAAAAATCACCAAAGTGTTTCGATATTTTTCCTATTTAAAACTTGACTCTTCTGTAGTTACATCGTGCACTAAGACCGACGGAAAATGTGAAGTTGCGATTTTCTAGGCTGATATGGCTAGGAACTATACTCTCATTCCTGCGTAATAATCAAGAAACTTCACTGCCGTACCATGAGCGCAGCAGGCATAATGATATGACGCAGCGCCTGAAAATAGTTCCGTTGTGTTGACGGAAGGTGGCCTATTTTCAGGCGCTGCGTCATATCATTACGCCTGCTGCGCTCATGGTATGGCAGTGACGTTTCTTGATTATTACGCAGGAATGAGAGTATAGTTCCTAGCCATATCAGCCTAGAAAATCGCAACTTTACATTTTCCGTCGGTCTCAGTGCACGATGTAACTACAGAAGAGTCAAGTTTTAAATAGGAAAAATATCGAAACACTTTGGTGATTTTTTTGTGAGAAATGCTAATGGTCTTGTCCACTTCAATGATGTATGCTAAGCTATGCTAAAAGTGGTACCGCCAGAACCGGAGATTGGCTGAATGGATTCAAAAACGGTAAAACTCAACAGTTTAACTCTGGGGGAGTTGTAAAATGAGCCTATTTCCAAAAAAAGTGGAGTATCCCTTTAAGACTCCATTAAATTCACATTTACTGCAATTTATAAATACATAGTCTTCCCACAGACCTTATAGTAATTATCGTTAACTAAAAAACAAACTTGTTAATTGAGATAAAGCTGAAATAAATATCAGATAAAAAAAGAAACGACACAAAAATAAGAAATGTTGCCTTGGCAACTAACTGAAATAATAAGTTTAAGTTAAAGCATTAAATTACTAACAGGAAATAAATAAAAAACAAAACTGAAATAAAATAATAAAAAATTTTTTTTTTAAATCATAAAAATGACAAAAGCACAAAACAAAATCACTAAAAATAAAATAAAAACTGAAAAAACAACAACAACAACAACAACAACAACAACAACAACAACAAAAAACACTAAACCCAAACTACAATAGTATATAATAACACTAAAATAACACTGGTCACACACAAGCATATTTCTGTCTATATTATAGGATGCCCTAACAATATATAGGCAATTTAAGATATTTTCTAATAAAACCATTTCAGAAGCCCCCAAACGGTTTTGGCTAACGGCTGACCTCTCAAGTGTGTATATTTTTCAGTATTTTATTTACCTTTGAGTTATTTTAAATTCATATAAATAAAACAAATAAATGTATTGTATTGTATTGATAAATTGAATTTCACACTGCAGGATACAGCTGTTATTGCCTGAAGTCAACTACCTATAAAATCTAAAACAGTTATTGCAGCACAACCCAAAACATCCCCACCTAAATATTAACTGTCGTGACTCACTTACCAGGTAAAGGAATATGTAAATAACGCAAATCGATGTACGGATACATCAAGATCATATTACCTCACTTCAAATATGAGGGGAGTGTAAAAATGTAAAGAAACACCACACACACATGCTGTGCTGAGTGACACTGTTTGCTGTGAGTGTGCTGCAGGATTCGGTGAGATATGGGGCGGCGATGTAAGCAAAAAGGGATGCAGAGAGCGAGACAGAGGTAAGGGTGAATGCAGTGTCCTTTCTTTCAATTCTCCTGATCCAGCAGATGAAGAGCTGAGTCACTGCGCACACGCACACGCACACACACGCGCTCCTGAGGCAAGCTTTGCAGGAATTCCCACTGCAGATATCAAGTGTTGCAGACTCGTTTCCCACTGTTCTCTCTTTTCTTGCTGTGTATTGATGTAGCTCACCCGCTCTTGCCTTCCCCGCCTCATTTTTTCTTTGCTTTGGATTGAGATGAGAGACGCTGAGGCCACACCCTGCTCTTCCTCCCTTTCTGTCTCTCTTCAGAGCGAGAAAATTAACCCCTCTGTTTACTACTTGCTTGTCAACCAATCCCTTCAGGCTTTACATTGCAAAAAGAAAATAACAATTTGACCTAAAAAAAAAAATCTTCACAAAACATCTTCAATATGACTAATATGAATGATAAACTGAAGCTGCATATCAAAACCAGGTGTAAAAAGCAATCGGTGTCACGTGACCACTTGTAAAACCAGGTATAAATATCTCAATAATGCAGCTCATATTACTACCGTACACACACACAGGCCACATGTCTCGACTACAGATCCACACACAAATGCTCACAATGAAGCCAACAGTGACAGTCAGCGATACAGTACCACATGTATGGGGTCTCTATAGGTGGTCCAGTTAAGAGACAGTGAAAACAAACAAACAGAGGCTGTATCTAAGGGATGAGATAAGTGTCTTTCCTTTTTCCTTTTCCGTTAATCTCTGCCTTTCCTCTCTTCCCATTTACATCCTGTATTTCTGTATATCTCATTCCTTTTATATTTTAGATTGCCAGCAAAACAGTGCTCTTTTACTTCCTCTCTTTCAATTTAACAGCTCAACTAAAGCGTTGCAGTACCTTAAAACACCCACCAGGGATCTGTACAACACATACTTCAAACTTGTGCTTAATGTGCTTTCAATTAATGTAATGACTCAAGGGTTTCACACATTACACAGACCTCTCTCCAATATCAAAACACAAAGTAGGTTGTTTATCAAAGTGAGACGTGCATTTTTGAGCATATGCGGTTGTAAGAAAGAAACGTTATACCTTATACGCTGCCTCTCTCATAAACTGCTTGGCCGGCATCTTCCAGATGGCCGGTACAGTGATGACCCATCTGACATCAGCATTGTCAAAATCCGCCCCTGCTTGATCGCTCAGCTCCTGTATCCAATAAGAAAAATCCCTTTTGAGGTCAGTAAATATTTTTATTCCGGAAAAACACATTAAATTGAAAGAAAAAGTAACAGTAAAGACATTAAGCAGCACAACTGTGATGATAATAATAATAATAATAATAAAAAGAAATGGTTTCTTGAGCACCAAATATGCAAATTAGAATGATTTCTGAACGATCATGAAGCCTGGAGTAATGATGCTGAAAATTCAGCTTTGCATCACAGGATTAAAATACATTTTAAAATATATTCAAATAGAAAACAGTTACTTTAAAGGTGCTCTAAGCGATGTCATGTGTTTTTTAGGCCAAAACATTTTTTGTCACATACAGCAAACATCTCCTCACTATCCGCTGGCTGCCTGTCCCCTGAACACACTGTAAAGAAACGCGATCTCTGTAGACAGCCCATGCTTCACAAACAGCACCAAAAACAAACTGCAGCGACCCGCTCCCCAAAACATAACAAACTGTTTCAGCCAATGACCGACAAGAAGGGTTTGGGGGTGTGGTTTGGGGGGTTAGTGTGCGGATGAGGAGGAGGGAGGGTCTAGCTAGCCTCCGTTTTGTTTGACAATAGTTCGAACGTCAACAAGAAGTGACGTCACCCAGGATCGCTTAGAGAACCTTTAAATTATAATAATACTTCACAATATAACTGTTTTTACTGTATTTTTGATTTAACAAAATGAATGCAGCCTTGGTGAGCATACGAGACTTCTTTCTAAAACATGTTAAAATGATGTGAATTGACTGGGTTTAACATAGCATTCTGTATGATCATGTGAGTAAGACATACCTTAAGAGCCTGCTCCTTAAAAAAGGCCAGCGCATAAGCAAAAATATCCAGAGCTTTCACCCTTTTCCCATTGGCCGCATGTAAATCCGTATCAATGGACAGATTCTGCAGAAGATAAAATGACAATTAATGCCTCTCAGAAACAAGAAAGAGCTTGACGTGTAAACTCAAAATGTATTTGTACTTCAATAGACTTATCACATTATTCACAATGAGGGAAATATACTGTATAACAGTTTAGAGACTTAATTTAGATTTAATAAAACTAGACAACTCATTAACAGCATTGCTTCAGTGTCTTAAAGCTTTGATAGGTTCACCTGTTAATAATGAGTTTGTTTGCATTACTTGTTAAGTTATGCAGTAGCCAGTAATTTATGAATATATCCCTGCAGTGTCAGGCAGAAGACCATGTCCTCACATTTATGATCAATAATTCCCTCAATGCATATTTGTGCTGGGACGCAAAGTCAACACTAATACAATATCGTAGGAATGTGTCCTTACTGCAGTGGTGTGTAGTTTCATTTTAAACTTCTCCAAATAGAGCCATTGCTTAGACTCGGTGGGATCCAAGTCATGGTAAAAGTCTCGGGCTGCATAACCAAAACTGTGGAACTTCTTGTCTGGGGTCAGTAGAATGGTGGTGGGCGTCTTCTGATTGGACACACCTGGGTCTCCACCCTCCCAGCGCCTAGCAAAAAAGGAAAAACAACCAATGAGAGCGTGAATTCTACAGAGATATGATGGTATCAGGAAATGATTTCATTGGGCAGAAGCTTTTAGCTTTTCACTTCTCCTAATTAAGAGAGAACTGTTTCAACTTACCTAAGATGACCTACAGTATCACTCAACCCAATCATGCATCACACAGATGATTATCCATCCTCATTACCCATCCTCATTATCCATATCAAGGCAGTCATAAAACCAGCTCAAGCATCATACAGAGACAGAGGGATTTAAAATATTCATGGCCCTTTACTTCCAGGATGAAGGACCTCAGTGGAAAAACAGAATATGCACCTTGACTACTGACTGTCTGAACTGACGGAGAGGAAATTGCATATGCCAAAATTTTCACAATAGAGCACTGACTACATGCACCCTATAATAATGAAGAGATTTCATGGATCCACTAAAACTACATTGGGACCAATTGGTAAAAAGGTTATCATCTGTTTGCTGCTTTGTTTGATATTTTGTTATGTAAAGCATTGACATTTATAAATATACATTTTGGGGGCACTATATAGCCAAACTTATTACTGTAATTACAAGTCAATTGGATATTATTGACATAACTGTAATAGTCCATAAGGTATCAGCTTATCAGAGTTAATAATATGGGTCTCTGAACAAACTAAAAAATTACTCTGGGATTCTGTGGAATCAGGACAGACTTGAAGTCGATCTATTAATCTCCTGTTAAATGTACAATATATAAAATATCCAAAAATCACTTGCACAGTGTGATATATTCCCTGCAATTGTGTACTTACAATATCCCAAAAGTTCCCAAAGATTTTTAATTTCAGAGAAATTTCAATTTTAAATAATTGGCCGTCCCGGAAAACCTGTTCACTTGTCGCCTGTCAATGACGTAAAATCCGCGTTACCCCTGGTTTGCGCTTAAGTACTGCCATAGTACCATAGTATAACCATGGCAACAGACTTGGACAACTGCATTACGTCTAGCGGCACGCTCACGCTGTTGTTGTTTCGTTCAAACATTATGGACCATGGCAAGCAGACTTTGGGAAAAAAGGAGAACTAAAACGAGAATCAATCTCAGCGTGATGTTTTCGAGATGCCGAGAGCTCCACGTCCGTGACTAACTTCGACTTGACAGAGCTCTTACATGTACTTTGTTAGACAGGTGAGCAAATGTACATAAAACTAATCAATGTTATATAGCTCAACATGATGAAATGTTAGGATATGATCTCTATGTTATTCTAATGTTGATCTAGCTTACTGCTAGTCTCATAGAATAACATTATAACTTTCAACACAGTCAAATGCCGTTTAGTGTGATAGTGTAGAGTAGACCAAGTGAAACAGCGCTGAGTTACCTCACGTTTAATTCGTCTAATAAACTGACCTGTGTGAGTAATTCAGCACTTGCGGGTAGTTTGGTAGAATTAAATGTCCTTATTCCTTTACATCCGCGAGGCTCGCGTGGCGCTGATATCTGTCTCTCATTAGCAATCGAGCCTTCATACCACAGTCATGATAAAAAACATCAATGTATTCACTCATCCATTAACATTACCAGATCCATCGGCTTGACGACAAGTTCCATAATTTTACGTAAATGTTATGTAAAAGATTACATATTGTATCTTTAACCAACTCAAAGCAGCTGTCTTCTTGACTATAAACAGATTTAGTAAATGAGTTTTGTGAGCTTTTTACAAGGCAATCTGAGTTTATGTAAAGGTTTAGGGACTAGACCAGTACTTCTCAAAGTCCGGACTCCGGTCCGGATCCGGACCCGGAGGGAATTCAATCCGTACCGGCCTCCATTTCGTATCAAGAGCACTAATTGTGTGTAATGGATTAAAAGTGTGGATTTCCTACTTTGATAAACGCATGTTAAAATCATTTGTTTCGTTTTGTTATGTCTTTTTTGAGATGGTCCGAAATTAAAGCGAAGGCGAGATATTTAAAGTTTTCCTCCGTGATTTAGTTGCCATGACATCCAGTGAGCGTATGATTTTTGACGTAATCGGGCGCGACGCGACACTTCAAGTTCACCGCAGTAAGCGTTTGAATGGGTGTGAGGATGGCATCATCCAAGAAAAGAAAAGTTGACGGAGAAAATAGAGTTTTTAAAGATGATTGGACCGAGAGGTATGCGTTCATTTTGCCCCAATCCAGCACGAAGCCATTCTGTTTAATTTGTAATGAGACAGTTGGAGTTGTGAAGAGTGGAAATGTCAAACGACATTATGAAACAAAACACAGACATTTTGAACAGCAATATCCACAAAATACAGAGGTACGGACAGCAAAACTACGACAGCTAAAGTCTTCATATGAATCAACAAATAAGTTGCTTGTGAGAGCTGTGACACAGCAAGAGAGAGCTACAGAAGCATCTTTCCGAGTGGCCTGGGTACTAGGCAAAAACAAGAAGCCGTTCTCTGATGCAGAGATAGTTAAGGAGTGTTTAGTGGAGATAGTAGATGCTTTTTTTGAGGGAAAGGAGAGACAGGAGATGTCAGAGAAATTAAAGAAAATCCCACTGTCCAATGACACTTCAACCAGGAGGACAGAGGTACTTGCCCATGACTTAGTTAAGCAGTTAACTGATGATATCAAAGATGCACCCTGCGTTTCACTTGCGGTGGATGAGTCAACAGATGGCACAGACCAAGCCCAGCTATGTGTGTTTGTCAGATACTTCAGCAAGGCAAAGGGGACATTCTGTGAAGACTTACTGGGCCTTACTCCACTCTGTCACACTAGAGGAGAGGACATCTATGAAGCTATCATGCAGATGCTTAATGAACGGGGAATTGATGTCAAGAATATTGTGTCCATCACTACTGATGGTGCTCCAGCCATGATAGGGAAGGAGAAGGGAGCTGTTCAACGTCTGAAAGAGGAGCACTCCGACCTGCTGACATACCACTGTATTATACACCAGTCCGTGCTGTGTGCTAGCCTTGGAAAAGTTTCAATATTCAGACGTCATGGAAACTATTATGAAGCTTGTGAACTACCTGAGAGCATCCTCTGCCCTTCAGCACCGTCTTCTGCGGGCATTCCTGACTGAGGTGAGAATAAATTTGACTTTTTCTACTGTGTTTTTGTGTGTGTGGGTCAATAGGGGATTATTAAGTGATGATCACACACACACACACACACACACACATACACATACACATACACATACACATACACATACACATACACATACACATACACATACACATACACACACTGCTGCAGAGCCAAAGCATTTAAATCTTTAACAATTTTAATCAATGGGAAACTAAGGCATAATTAATGCAGGAAATGCTGAATATCTCCCCACTGACTAATGTTAAGTCAACCCTTATTTCACAAATGTTTTTTTATTTATATAATAATTTTTAATTGTGAATAAAATGTAGGAGAAAATGTAATTATATGCATTTGGAAGTATTAAAGGTTGTCATCAAAATCTACTTACAACAGACTTAAACCATTTAAATTTACAGAATTTACAAAGATCATGTATTTATTTATTTTTATCTTTTTTCTTTCTCTTATCAGGTAAATGCTGCTTATGACGACTTACTCCTCCATAACAATGTTAGGTGGCTGAGTAAGGGAAGAGTCTTGGAAAGGTTTTGGGCCATCAGAAAAGATTTGGAGATGTTTTTGTCCCAGCAGAAGAATGTCAAAGCCAGGCATTACTTGGATTTTCTGAGGGATGATGACAGCATGGAGCTTGTGGCCTTTTTAGTGGACATAACATCTCATCTAAATGAACTGAATCTGAAGCTCCAGGGCCAAGGCAACACAGTGTGTGATCTGATGGCAGCAGTACGCTCCTTTGAAAGGCGGCTGGAGATCTTTAAGAGTGACATCACAGGGCCACATATCCACTTTCCAACTCTTCTCCAGCAGACTAATGGCAATCACCATCGTCACCATCTTTCCTTTTTGGAGAAGCTAGCTGAAAATTTCAGGATGCGCTTTGAGGGGTTCAATATAGGCAGACAAGTGCTGCTCTGCATTCCATCTCCATTCCTGGTCAAGAATGTTGAGGAGTTTTCAAAAGAAACCAAGAGCATCTTCCCATGGGCAAGCATGGCATCTCTGCAGACTGAACTCATTGACTTACAGGAAAATGTGGCTTTGCAGGAAGTGGACTGTGGCACTCTTACCTTTTGGACTAAAATGGTCACAGCTGAAAATTTCCCCAATCTGCAGAAAGTAGCCATCTGTGTTCTTACCATGTTTGGGTCGACCTATCGGTGTGAGTCTGCATTCTCAGCAATGAATGCTGTAAAGAACTCATACCGCAGCAGCTTGACTAATGAACATTTAGGCCAGTGTCTCCGTCTGGCAACCACACCTTTTGTGCCACGTTTTCGGCAGCTGATGGGAGACAGACAGTGCCATTTCTCACATTAGACTGTTCTGTATTTTGCACCATGTTACTTTGGGCCTACCTCTTGTTGTGTTTTGTTAAGAATTTTTTTTGAATTTTTTCAAAAACACCTTATTTTTTAAATAAAATGAATGTTGATTTTTTTATGCATGTTTATTAAAAATAAGTTTTGTAATAACCAATAGTTCCGGACCTTTGACATTGATGAAAATTCAGATTTGGACCTTTGAATGTAGACTTTGAGAACCCCTGGACTAGACTATCAGTCCAACCCAAATAATCTCAGAGGCCTTGGGCTATTTGTGCTTGTAAATCTGTAGCAGCAGTCAAAACACAATTCGAATTAACCAGATTGAAGCAAGGCACTGTTTTTTCCAAAGAAGAGCAGTCTCAATTTAACTCGTTCCTTTTCTCCTCCTCATCTCGCACTCTCTCGTTGTCCACATTTGACACAGTCAAGATCCTAAATGAATACTATAGCCGTGGACAACGGAATGCTAAGAGTCCTTGTCAGACAAAGCTAAACATATCTGTACTGTATATGCAATGGCCTTCTTGTTTCAATAGAAAGCAGTAGGCTTATCTTTAAATGTTTTCATGCCTCTATTCACGCTTGTATTCAAACCATCTTTTAATATGTGGATATATGTGCGCACACCCTCTACAGCTGTACTTGTGCAGTTTAACAAATAGAATCCTATTTCTAACTTTCATAGTGAGTCTGATGCCTAAAATGAAACCCACATGCCCATTTGGGCAGGAAACACGTGGCTGACTCTGCCCAGCAGGTACTCTGGAGAGCTGACCTTAGAGTCAAAGGCCACATGACCAAGTAGGTCAGGTCAGGATAGCAGAGCAGCTGTGGGTTTACCTTCATATACAACACACGTGGTTCAGTGTTACGTGGTTCAGACCATTATACACACAGTGGGACTGTATTAATCTAATGAGTGCATCTAAGTGCCCAGAGAGGAAGACACCTGTGCGTTTGACTGAAATAGAGACATGACCTTCTAATGGCCAATCATATTAAATGTCTTCAGAAGAGATGGACTACACATAAACTGTTGAACAGTTTTTTTTAATGCTCTGTTCGAACATAATTTACTCAAAACCCTACTGAAGGATAGAAAGAAGAAAAAAAAGGTACTTTCTACATAAAATGATGAAAAAAAAAGATATATATAAAATATAAAGGAATATAAATAACTACTTTTATATTATTTTAAAATTGTTAATAAATAATAATTTATAATTAATTATAAAATTATATTAATAAATAATAATATATAAACTACAGAAAACTAAGAAAACTACATTTTGCCCAAAATAAGCAAAAAATAATAATTTTTTAAGAGTCCTTTTGGGAATCTCATTTGAGCTTTTCTTTTACAGGTACACCCCCACTCTCTCTCTCTCTCTCTCTCTCTCTCTCTCTGCCCCTTTTGTCTCACCTCATAGTGTGAATGCACTCTGGTTCTTTATTGAAGGCATATGCGTAGCCACTGGAGGTGGTGCCAAAGTCGATGGCCACCACCACCACATATGGGTGCCTCGTAGGCTCATTCTCTTCTGAGTCATTCTGTAGAAAGACAAAAGGGAAAAGAAGCAGAGGGAAACTGAGAGACATGAAAAGAGGTAGAGAGATACTGTCAAGTATATGTCAAGCATTAAATTGTTGCATGTAATTGCAGCTCAGGGTAAATAAGACAATCCATTAAGGCCCCATTTGCACTCCGGACATTTCCTTCATGTAATGGGTGACGTCATGCTGGCAATAAAAAGCTGAGCTCACCAGTACATGTGTGGGGGAAAGTGGCGTGATGCCTGGGTCGCCCATACTCTTGGCTGGAGATGGAGTAGCCATTGCATCTGCAAAGTGAACGAAAGAAGAAAGAACAAACAAAAGAAAGAAAGTTTAACATTCAAATCAAACATTCAAACTACAAAGATGAGCCTATATTCAAGTTAATAATTTAGTGCATTGTTGGGCTTATACAGATAATGATAATATTAATACATTTTAATGTTTTAAAATACTTTTTTTTTGCTTTGTATAATACATTTTTTTGTTACTGTTTGGTTGTCAGTTGAGAAACAATGTATTAAGGTAAAGCTGTTTTAAGGTGCCATTTGTGAAATGTCTATTGTTCATAGTGTGGCGATATATGAAGCACAGCTCACACCAGTCAGTTTCAAACCTAGCAGAGTTCTGTTGCTCAATCTCAATCCGCATTACCAACTTAAATCTGTTGCGAAATCTTTCAACCTCAAGAGTGATTGTGATCACATGGATTCAAATTTAAATGAAAATTCACCAAAAAAAGTCAATATGACCACACCTTTAGTCTACAGGAGGTTCTCCATTTGAATGTTTTTTTCCCCAAACACGTGTTTTTCTGTTTTATAGTGCGTCTGTTGGACCTTTTTGAAAATTAATCAAAATACTGTAATTCTTGAAGATAACCAAAACCTAATTAAAATACATTTAAATGGCATTGCGAATATCAGGAAGCACTCTAAGGCACAGTTTCATGGTCACAGTTGGAGAACAGGACTAAATGGCACCATCAATGGTGATTCTTCACTGGAAATTATTTTCAGTGGGAACGAGACTTAAAAGCCTCAATTAATGTTCAGCGAATTCGTCTGAAAGACCATTCATTTGGCCTTACTTTTTTTATAACATCGCTTATGTCTAACATTTTACATTATTTGGTCATAAAATCATCAAATCCTTTAAGAGCTTTAGACCACTACAGCAACAGCTGCTCCCCTCCACACTGACATTTGAATCGAATTAGAGGTTGTATTTGTCCATTCCCGTCGTCCTCATTAGCCGGGCCTAATAGCTTCACTAAAACACTTGGATGCTGAGCACCCTGAACACTAAACGAGCGCCCGGGTTCCTTGCTCCGCGGGATGCCACGTTTTTCCGAGCATTCATCCTTTTTTCCCGCCTTTACCCCATACTGAGCGGCAGAGTGAACAGAATAAGCGTGGCGCTCTTCAGCGAGTAATTACGGGTTGAGCGACAGGCTACCTGCAGCTCGCACTTCATTTCAACCACTCACCACATGCACAAGCTCCAGCTACCGAGATTGATTTTAAAATGGGACAATGGAACGTCAAAATCAATACTGAAGGAGTAAAATGATTGTCTATAATGATAAATGCCTATAAGTGAAGTGTTATTCAGAAACACACACTTGACCGTCTTTTTATACTTTTCAGCGAATGGATTTGCGGGTTAAAGGAACTTAAGTTTGTTTACATGGCAACACGGCTCACTGTACGGGGACTTCATTATAGCACATTAAAGTTGCGTGAGGGTAATTACACAACGTCAATGGCGACCGTTTCCCTGGTGGCTGATTGAGAGCTATACTTGATTAGGGCTGTGATTGTGTTTTGTATGTATGTGTGTGTGTATTACATGTCTTTTCAATAAGGCTCTTTAAGTCACAACAGAGAATCCAAACATGCGTGGGAACTGGAAAGCAGAAAATGGGCATAAACGGTGGGAAATTACTTGCATTATGACCAGAGTGTGAAACGGACCAATTCCTTTGATTTTCCTGCTGTTTTAAAGACTTATTTACACATAAGCATGAAAAGAAATGTATCTACAGACTGGCCTGACATGAATAGATGTACCTTGAATTGTTGTCAACAAGAAAAAAAAACCCAATGTAAATCAATTATTTTTACTCAGGATTGGCTGACATAATGAGCTGTTTTAACACAAAACCTACACAATAAATAATATAAAATATAGTAAAAAACTATCAAGATGAAGTTATCACTTCAAGTTGTTGGCCATTCAGGTGCATTATTATTATTGAGCAAAATTTTGAATGTTTACTCGGCAGGTTTTTGGAAAAGTTCAAATCCAACTCACATCTAAAGTTTCAGAAAACACAGAACACAAAAGACTCTTTTAATGAGGCGATCATATATACTAGAACCATTAGTATTTGCGTTGATCCAAGCAGCAAAAATAAACACAAATGAGAGAGAGGATGGAGAGAGAAAAAAGTATCCTGTTTTCACCCCTCCTCTAGTCCACATGAGAAAGGGAGTGAATAAACGGGGTGTTCAAGCTCCATTCTGGAATGTTATACAAAATTCTGACAGGAAGCAGGAGGAGTCAGAGGTCATCCATCCTCTGTGGAATTACAAATTCAGAAGAATTCCAAGCAGCCCAGTACACAGAAATAATAGAGTTCAGAGATATATGGACCACTGACATGCACAGACAAAAGCGATCTTAGGTCTGGAATCTATTATCTATAAAATATGCCACATTGTGATATAGTTGAGTCAAAGTGAAGAGTAAAAATCAGAGATATTTTTAAATATGAAGAAGGTTGTACAATCAACTCAAAATGCCAGTCATAAATGTCACTTTCCTGTTTTATTTTTATTTTTTATTGATAATTAGATATCAATAGAAAAATGTTATGTGAATGGGCTTTTTCTGCCATTCTCAAAAGGCATTCTGCTTCCTCCCTTCTTTGTTGAGTTTATGTTCATCATATTCATCAAATCTTCAACAGATCAACATGAGAGCAGCTGGGGTACTTGTAAGGTTAGGATACTTATTAAGTCTAGTTTATTAGTTAGCTGTTCTTTAGGCTGCTAATTTTTGTTCATGGTATTCAGCTGCAACAGGATGTTTTGCCAAAAGACACGGAATAGATATGTTTGATATCTAAATGTTTGAATTTTTTTTTTTTACCATGTTGGAATCGAAATGGGGATTCTAAAAACTGAATTGATAATCAGAATTGGAATAGAAATCGCTAAAATTCTAACGATACCCTACCGGTACTTGTATTTTGAACTTCCAAAGAGAAATAGATTCTTCAAGTGCCTTCAATCTGGTTGATGATTTTATTCCATGGCTAGCACACACAGACAGATACATCTGTAAAATATTACAACTCTGGATCACACACTACAGTTCTGATCCATTATTAATTATATTATTTTTTTTACAGTTCTCAAATCTCAACATGTCTGAGACAAATGGCCTCTTACTCTGTAACTTTTGGTTTGAAATTTTTCCAAAAATAATAACCAAATGCAGAGATAAAGAAAAGCGAATCCATCATGATGTCAAGTAGAGAATTCCCTGTTAAGTGAAAACAGATCAGGAAAAGGGAAAACGTAAAGTGTACCCATATCTCAAGCTGAAAAACAATTGTTTTTTTTTTTACGTTTTTTTTTTATAAATATAACTTTCCAATGAATTCTGTGTGAACAGTACAGTTTACAGCTGAAGCTACACTGTAGTGTGTGATCCCGAGTTGTAATACTTTACAGATCCCTCTGTCTGTGTATGCTAGCAATGACATAAATTCATTAACCAGATTGAAGGCACTTTCAAAATACAAGTACCTAGGGTTGGGTAATGTTTGAATTTTAGCGATTTTTGATCCCAATTCCTTCCAATTGTAAGTCGCTTCGGATAAAAGCATCTCCTAAATGATTAAATGTAAATCATTTTTAAGGCCTGAAAGCAAAATACACTGAGCTCAGATAATATACTATCAAGCCGCTAACAGCTATCAAGACAAGCCATCTCAAAGACATGCCATTGACAGGGCAGGGCTGCTCCAGTTCACGTGTATGTGAAGGTCCATTCAGAAACGCAGCACTATAAATGCCAAAAACACAGCCAGCCGGTCATCTCGCTCACACTAACTGTGTCCAGCTGCCCCTATTCACTCACAAACACACAAATAAACACTCACATTCATACACAAACACCCCTCCCACACACAGTGGGTGAGAGAAGCCACACAACAGCTGCGACTGCTCCAATCGTATTACTTTCTCTCTGTCTGTTAGGGTTGTCAGTAGGGATGATTAATCGATGATCGCACCGTAGTTACATACTACCGGTATTATAAATATATTAACGTCTTGAAGCCATTCAATGGATTAGGTATGCAAGCAGTTTAATTTGAAACATAATTAACCAAGGGTCCAAAAACCCCTCCAAACAAGTAATTTTACTGAACATAAGAACTACTTGGTGTAAACACCACAATAAAAGTACATAGAATAAACAAATGAGTGCTGATCTTCCGGTGCTTTTTCAGCTGTGCGCTCCTATTCTATGGTGCATAGTAAATCAAGACCTGTCAATCTGGGGTGTATTTCCCAAAGCCAACTATGGTTGCAAGTTCAGTTGTTATCAGGGCTGGACTGGCCATCGGGCATTTCGGGCATTTGCCCGGTGGGCCGACGTGCTTTGTGGGCCGGTACATACTTTAAATTTTTTATTTTTTTTTTGTCTGAACGGCCTATAAAACTCGCACATCGGCGGCCCATTGCGTTTAGTTTTGCTTAATTGGCGGCGCTGGGATCTTTGTGCCGGTGTAATGCATTGGACACAGCGTAGGTTTATTCTTTCTCTCACAGACCGGCACATGAAACGCATAGATCAGCGGCCCATTGGTTATTTTCTTGATTGACACTGGGCTGGTCCAATCGCATCTTAAACTCCTCCCCCTTTGAGCTCTGAGTGAGCGAGCAGTGTCAGTGTGTATCTGTCAAAATAGTCCGAGCGATGGAGAAGAAACTGCAAGGAATGCGCAGAGAAATAGCGTGAAAAAAACAAACTTCAAAGGCCCTCCGTGGCTGATGAGGATAGTGAGGAGGATAAGGAGAGAAATAAGTGAGTGCAGGGAACTGTGGTAAGCAGAACTAGGCTACTTTCAGAACACTTAGGCTATGTAGGAACCCACTACCCAGTTATGCATTATTTCCAATCTGCACAACTAGGGGTGTGCAAAAAAATCGATTCACATTTGAATCGCGATTCAATCTTTACCGATTCAGAATCGATTCATAGAATTCCA